TTTTTCCTTCCCCTCCCCCATGGGTTTCTGTTAAGTTTCTCAAGTCCAGCACCTTTTATGTTCCAATTAATTTAGCAAACCTGTTCAAAGAAACACTGTGCATATGTCTTCTAAGAGGCAATTAATGGGGCACCTGGGTGCTTCAGTTGGTTGAGCATCCAACTCTAGATTTCAGCTCAGGTCACGATCCCAGGGTCGTGGGACTTAGCCCCACGTCAGGCTCCACACTAGGCATGGAGCCTGCTTGGAATTCTCTCTTTGCCCCTCCCCTGCTCATGCGTTCTATCCCTCTCATATTAAAAAAAACCACACACAACATTAAAAACAAACAAAAAAACACAGGGACACGTAGACATTTGTGACATCCAGGGCTGATGACACCTGCAATCACAGAAGAAGGGAGAAGAAGCCGTGTTACCCTCTCCATTCAAATGAACTCTGGGTGTGGAGCATGTAAATACACACTAAAACTTGCACAGCTCGAGCTAGTGAAATTATAAGGCACGTTTCAAGGGCTAAGCTACATTTTCCACTTCACAGAGAGAAGAGAAAAAAATGTCTTAAATATGGAATTTTTAGTAAGCCTCCCAGATCAAACAGTACTTTATAGCCATATATTCTACGCAAAACCCATACCTGGGTTGCTAAGTTCAAAGCTGCTCTCTCTTAAACATCTCATAAGAGTAACATACATATGTGACTGACTAAAAATTGTGGCAGGCACCTAGGTTTCTGGTTAACCTATTTTGGTGAAAAATATCAAAAAGTAACCTTCTAGATTTAAAAATTCTAGAAAATATTTAAATTTTAAAAAACTAATAATAAACAAAGTATTAATAAAAGTGGAGATTTTGTAAAAATTTTTGTGAAAGTTATAAAAGTTTCAGGAAATGCCCTGGTAATTCCAGATGTAGAGATCTCATGATCAGCATCAGTGTGACTAGCATGGTGTACCCCAGATTTCAACCTTATAAGACACGTATGGGAATATATTTGGAACGGAATCCTGAAATTCCCTGAAACGCAACTACTATGGAAATTCCAGAAAAAAAAAACTTAAAAATTAATATTTGGTTTGAACGTTGGTGCAACATAGAGCCTATGGTATCAGTGTCCAACATGATGTGGCCGGGAGCTACTAAAACAATCCTACTGAATTTGCCCTACACACAAAAAAAGCAAACAAAAAGGCAAAGGAGAAAATGCCATGTCTGCCTGGAGTTTGCCTGGGCTGAGAGCGCCATCTACAAAAATGTGATCACGCACTGAGCTTTCTGACCATTAGGTGACACTATACGATCATAAATGCAAAGGGACAGACCACAGCTACAAAGCCAACAAATGCTAAGCATTTTAAGGAGCCATCAGTCATTTTATACTTTAGTACTCATAGTATCAAGTACAATACAGAATATTCAGAAGACAACAGAAACCGGTATTTTGTGAAAAGCAAGAAGGATACAGAATACGTTATTAAGCACACAAGGATCAAATTTGACTTCTACCATCAGCAGAGATCTGTGGAGATGTTTTATGAAAAAAATGTGTAGATCAAACGTCTAATTTGATCATCCTGCAATCATCTGCTGTTTTTGCATTTAGTCCTTTATTCCTAGTAAATATGCTAATTTGGCAACCACAATGAGTTTGGGGGCAGACACCAATAGGTTATTATGGGAGGGAAAGAAAATAACGAGCCCAGGATGGGGTAGAAACTGAGGTATGCAGCTTTTAGGTGTGTAGGTGTGTGACTCTAAATGACTTTCTGTTTATAGTTGTTTCCTTGTTCCTTACTTCCTATACTTCACTCCTGGTGTTTCTCCCTCCCTCCCTCTCTCCTTTC